TACTACAACTCCAAGATCTCTCTCTCGGTCAGCCTCTGCCAGTTTGGACCCCATCAACGTGTGTTTATAGTTAGGATTTTTGTGCTCCAATGTGCATCACTTTGCACTTGGCCACATTGAACCCCATTTGGCACGTTGACGCCCACTCGCCCATCCTCGACAGATCTCTTTGGAGTGCCTCCCAATCCTCCCTGGTTCTCACCACCTACCTCACAGGGTGTCTGTTGTGGGGAGGGGAAGGGAAAGGAGATTGTAAACCGCCCTGAGACTCCAAGTGAAGGGCGGGGTATAAATCCAATCTCCTCCTCTTCTTCCTAGAGCATAGCTGGTAGGGCGGTCACTTCTAGATCTTCAGCCAGAAGTGACATAAAAGAGACAGCCAGGGCTATTTTTGGGCAGGAACGCACAGGAATGGAGTTCCGGCTGGCTTCTGAGTTGACCACACCCAGCCGGAATTCATTAGCATAATAGGCCACACCTATCAGCAGAAACTCATCACGATTGGCTATGGCCTAACATGCAAAGAAGTTTCTGCTACCAAAAAAAGCCCAGGGTTTTGACAACAAACCAAGTAAACAGAATGAGAAGCAAAAGGTGGGTGTGGTGACATGGGGGTGTGGCCTAATATGCTAATGAGTTGTGGTGTCAGGGGTGTGGCTAATATGCTAATGAATTTCTGGTGTTATGCTAATGAGTTCCTGCTGGGCTTTTTCTACAAAAAACCTCCTGGAGACAGCAGTGTGGTCTCCTCCCCCATTTTCTTCCCACTACTCATGGTATTGAGGGCAAGCGAAGGAGGGCAGGACCTCAGCGGGCCCCTGGGAAATTTAGGTCCTGGATAAGTCTGGGGGTGGCTCCGGCATGGAGGCGACCAGAACTATGCACCACATTTCAAATGCGACCATAACAGAAAATAAAGTGTTGACATATAACCTCATTGTTTTGCACTGTTTTTTTCACTGGAGGCCTGAAGGAAAGGCCTGCCTTTGCAACACATATAAGGCAAGATCAGATTAGCACATCTGCAGGGCTTTTCTTGCGTGCCAGCCCGGTGGAACTGACTTCTGTCGGGAGGCCTGAACGAATCTCCATTGAAATAATGTCTATTTGCACACTAAGTGGCAATGGAAAAGTCACTTTTTAGAGTTTCAGGGGTTTTGGGGTGGGGTCTAGCCTGCTGTAATTCTTTCGTGACTTTTTCTCCTTAGGCACGGGGGATTTTTCTTGAAAGCACAACTGATACCTTTCGAATAAAAGTGAATGTTTTTGTTAAACGTCTCTTTGAGAGCACGGGAGGTTACTTAACTGACAGATGACAGACCTGCCTGTGGGGTACAAATCTTCAAGGAGAGCTTACTGTGCTTTCCTTCCAGTAGTTGCTTGCATTGTGGTGACATGTCTTTACCTGGATTGCAGTGCTTCTGTTGGCAAGGGAATCGAAGAGGCGCTTTCTCTCTCTGGCTTGAGTTAGCCCTAGAACTGTAGGTGTTATCCTCACAGTAGCAAGTACTTGGGTATTTTTAGCTCCCTCTGGTGACCAAACAGCCAACGGATATGGTGTCCGGTGCCCTCGTCTCCTCAGTTTAATTGCAGGCTAGAAGGCAAAAGGAGAGCAGGGTCTTTTTTTTCCAGTTTCCACTTTCTAGGTTCTAGCAGCAGCACAAGCAGTGGGCTTTTGCTTTGCTCTGTACTAGCTGAGGTTTCCTGTAATAGTATTGAAGTTTCCCGAGAGCCAAGACTGAAATCCTTAGGAAAGTTTGAATTTTGAAAATAATACATAAAAGCCAATATCCTTTATTCAGGTGTAAAGATAAAGGTTCCCTTGCTCGAAAGCCAGTCGAGTCCGACTCTAGGGTTGCGGTGCTCATCTCAGTTTCCAAGCCGAAGAGCCAGCGCTGTGCGAAGACGTTTCCGTGGTCATGTAGCCGGCATGACTAAACACCGAGGCGCACGGAACGCTGTTACCTTCCCACCGAAGTGGTACCTATTTATCTACTTGCAATGTCTTGCTTTCGAACTGCTAGGTTGGCAGGAGCTGGAACTAGAGACGGGAGCTCATTCCGTCATGCGGCACACTCGGGTCTTGAACTGCTGAACTTCCGACCTTCCACAGCCTGCAGTTCAGCATCTTAACCACTTGAGCCACCGCAGTATATTTGTATACCCAGATATTAAATACATGGCCCTAAAAGACACTCACGTTGTAGGAGTATCGAAGTAGATAAGGTGCTTCTGCATGATAAATAAAGTAGAAATTCTGATATATATGTATAAGTTGTCTGGTACCATGACCTGGATAGCCTAAGCCAGTCCAGTCTTATTGAATCTGGGAAGCTAAGCAGGGTCGGCCCCGGTCAGTATTTGGATGGGAGACCACCAAGGAATACCAGGGTTGTGATGCAGAGGCAGGCAATGGCAAAACTACCCTCTGAAGTCCCTTGGCTTGAAAACTCTACAGGGTTGCTGTAAGTCAGCTGTGACGTGTATATATATATATAGAGAGAGAGAGAGAGAGAGACCCCCATCACTAACTTCCTGAAAGGGATTTCTGCCTCTCCCCCAAAGAGTGTGGAATATGCCCCCCCAAATGGTCAATAATACCATTTGAAAATCCAGAAAACTGCAGTTTGGTGTTCATTTTGTCCAGAACATTAAGGGGGGGGGGATTACTGCCCTGAAGATGAAAACTTGGTGTGTGGAATGGTCATTGTGCAGGGTGAAGTCCAGCACAGAGGAAGTCAAACCTTACAAGGAACACAGTGTTCGGCTGTGCCATGGCTGGAAGGGGATTTCCAGTAAGAACCACTTAATGTCTGTGGATACCTGCAGAAAGCAGGGTTTTAATTTACTCTGTCTGTGTGTAAACAGAGAGAGAAAGTATTTTAGGCATGAAAATTGCGTTTATGTCCCCCTTCCTGCTTTATTTCTGAGCCTGTGTCTGAGCTGCCTGCTCATGCTAGTGCACTTCTGAAGTCCCGTGTTGTCGGTGGAGGGCAAACGATCCAGCAGTCTTGCCTGAAGCTGAGCAGGTCTCACTCTTGCCAGCACCTTAACAGAGGACCTCATGGGAACTGTATGGAAAACTGCCTTGAGGTCCATGGTGGAAGGAAACCAGGATGCAAACGTCATTTGAAGGAAAGAAAAAACTCTGATCAACACCTGATTTTCAATTTTCAGTATGATGTAAAACAGCTGGGGTGAGGCAAGAAACTGAAAATGAAGTTTGTGTTTTATATGAAGGCTGACCTTCCTGATGGTCTAATATTATTTAATAGGCTATAAACTAGGGTTGCCAGGTCCTTACCTGCTGCTGGCAGAGGGGGGCTGGGGGACGTTCCCGGGGGGGGATGTTGTTGACACGATTATGCCACTTCTAGAAGTGACATCATTGCATCGGTGATGTCGGGGCAACGCTCTACTTTTTGTGCAAAACTCTATGGTAAAAATGGCTACAAACCATGGAGTTTTGCCCAAAAAGTAGAGCGTTGCCCCTGGTGGCACTGACAAGATGACATCACTTCTGGTAGTCACATCATCGTGTCATGGATGGCACTGAGGGACGCCTTTTGGGGTTTTCCCCGATGGCCACCTGGACGGTAGTGGGCCCAAGGTTTGTGTTTGGTGGTGTATACAACTCTGCACAAGCAAAACCAGATAACGTGTTGAATGAACTTTGCTTACAGATGTAAAGCGGGGTGTTTAAAAGCCTCTCCTCTTCATTCTATAAGGTCTTTACCCACCAAGAGCCAAGCTTGTGATTCAGAGACATTTGTCAACTCTCGGTGACAATGAGCAAGCTGACATCTTTGAACGTGTCCAGGTAATAAATGGAATTGGTTGGCATTCTTTGTCCAGGAAACCGATGGAAGGATCAAGTCACTAGATCAAGGACTGCAAGAATGAAAAGCATCCTATTGGCCTCCCTGCCCCCATCCTGTGAGAGATAATTTGGGTACACAGGCATTCATAGTTGCCTACTATGCTGGGTCTTAACTAGTGTTGGGACTAGTGTTGCAATAAACTCATCTAGAGACATTAGAACAGGGGTCCCCAACATGGCGCTTGCCAAGTGTTTTTAGAATGGGTGGGGCATGGTGGGACTTTTGCCCTGCAGGTCTTCTGATTGGCCTTTGGAGATCTGACTAGCTGTGAAGATTTAAAAAAAATAATAAACCAACTGCCACCACAGCACAAGGATCTTCACTGTGTCACCGAAGGTAAGCCATGTCGGCCATTTTGTGGCTGGCTCTGCCTCCCGCAGCGGCCATTTTGTGGCAGCCATATTTTGGCTGTGTCCCACCGTGCTGTGTCCAAATTCCAAAGATACCCCCAGGCTCAAAAAGGTCGAGGCCCTCTGCATTAAAAGAACGGGTGGTCTACTGTCGTTTAAAAATTAAACTGTAGATGTCAAGAGCTTCTCAACCGGCATTACTGCTTTCCCCTCTTGACAGAAAATGAAGCCCGTTAGTGACCAGGAAGAAAATGAGCTCGTGATCTTACATCTGCGGCAGTTGTGTGAAACGAAACAAAAGACGCACGTGCACATTGGCGAGGCACCGGCGGTAAAACGTTTACTCTCTTCTACTGTTCAGTAATGGTGGCAGGAAGACCCATTGGGGTGATATTAGATAAATGCTTCTGTGGAGAACCCGTTATTTGAACACCGGCCCATTGCAGTCCTGAGCCTGCTTTTTGCCTGGATGTAAGTTTCCTTGGCCCTGATCTGGGTGGTCCAGGCGAGCCTGATCCGGTTGGCTCTTGGAAGCTGAGCAGGGCTGGACCACCAAGGAAGTCCAGGGTTCCTGCGCATAGGGTGGCGGCTGGAGATCTGCTATTACATCTGATCTCCAAGCAACAGGGATCAGTTCCTCTGGAGAAGATGGGCACTTTGGAAGGTGGACTCTGTGGGAAGCCCCTCCCCTCCCCAAACCCCGCCCTCCTCAGGCCCCACCCCCCAAATCTCCAGGTTTTCCCCAACTTCAGCTGAGCAATGCCAAGGAAGCTAGCCTAGCAAAGATTTAGGCATGACATTTTGTCTCTCGAAAAGGAGACTGAGAGGCATACCCCTCTTCCCTACTTTGTTGCTAAAATGAATTTTGGTTGCATGAAATGTTGGGTGTCTTCAGACAACTGTATTGGTCAAGACTAGTGCGTATTCTCACATTTGCTTTAGCAGAATACCTGCAACAACTCAGTTCCCGAAATCGCAGCAAGCGGCGGCAGGTTCAAACTTGACGTTCTGAAAAACAAGGCCAAGAAGTCCTTGACTAGTTCTCTGGAAAACATTTTCTCAAGGGTAAGATTTCTGAGCGTCAACACGCATTTAGGATATAATTGAGAATAATATTGTCATCTGCCAGTAGATCTTTCATTCGTTTCTTACTTGCAGGTTAAATAGGAGGAGCTGGCATTTATTTTTGGCCCCGGGCCTTCCTAAATCCCTCACATAAGCTGAAATTGCAGTTGAATGATAGAGTGCGCTAATTATTCTCAAGATTGTCTTGTATGCAACAGCTACTGCTGGAATTAGGACTAATTTGTGTTGTCAAAACAAATGTGGTTGGTACGTTTTGTTGTATAATTTACTGAGGGATTTTCTCCCTCAACCCATCTCCCTCCTCAGCACTCCCCCGATCCTCAAGGGGTTTTGTCTCCCCTGACAAGAAGGGGAGAGTGAGGGAACTGCTACCAGTTTTAAACTATTTAATTTACATGATAAACAAAGAAACAAAATCAGGATTCACATAGCTGTTTGTGTGTGTATGTCTTTTTAACAGTTCTGAGCCTTTATTGAAAGCAAATAAACTGAAGTGCAGTTTTGTGTCGGGGAGGGGGGAAGTGTTTTTCAGTTGAATAAATATAACCTGTATTCAACCCCAGATCTCATCAATGCAGGATCCGTCTCTTGCTGTCGGCACATGCCTAGCTAAAATTCTTGGTATCTAAAAAATGTAATGTGAACGGTAAGCACATTTTAGAACCTCTGAAAGGAAACATCAATTACTTCCAGAAGTAAAATCTGCCCCACTATATAAATCTAAACAAACAAACAAACAAACAAACAAATAAATACGTGGTGTTGTTTGGTGTGCCAATAAAGATTTATATTTCACGAACAGATTCCCCCCCCCCCAACAGACAATTCTTAGTAAATGTAGTGCGTGTAGAAAGTATTTGCTACGTATGGATGTGAAAACTGGACAATGAAGAAAGCTGACGGGAAGTAAGTTGATTCATTTAAAATAAGTTGTCGGAGGAGATTTTTATGGACACTGTGGACTCCCAAAAATACAAATAAGCAGGGCTTTTTTTGTAGAAAAAGCCCAGCAGGAACTCATTAGCATAACAGGCCACACCCAACAGCTGAAACTCATTAGCATATTAGGCCACACCCTGACACCACAGCTCATTAGCATATTAGGCCACAGCCCCGTGTTGCCAGAAGTGTGGTCATCCAGCCACACCCACCTTTTGCTTGTTGTTCTGTTTACCTTGTTGTCAAAACCCAGGGCTTTTTTTTTGTAGCAGGGACTCCTTTGCATGTTAGGTCACACACCCCTATCGTAGCCAATCCTAATGAGTTCCTGCTGTTGGGTGTGGCCTATTATGCTAATGAGTTCCTGCTGGGCGTGGCCAACTCAGGAGCTAGCCGGAACTCCGTTCCTGTGCGTTCCTGCCCAAAAATAGCCCTGCAAATAAGTGGGTTCTAGAACCAACAAATCCCAAGTTGTCCCTATACGCTAAAATGACTAAACTGAGGTCACTTCATGAGAAGGATTCACTAGAAAGGACCATAACGGTAGGAAAAGTTGGAGGCAGTAGGAAAAGGGGAAGACTCAATGAAGGAAGCCGTGTCCTTCAGTTGACGAGACCTGAAAAAGGCTGTTAACAATAGGACATTATGGAGGCCATTGATTCATAGGGTTGCTATAATTCGGAAATGAAATGACAGCACATAACACACGGAGAAAGCATTAATACTCAGCTTGAAAGGGCCACCTTTGTCTTAAAAATAAGAATTGGGCTCCTCAGTTGTGTGAAAATAAGGAGTGCTGTAAATATTCTGGTTTTTCAATGATCCCTCTAAGCTGTGGAGTCTGGTGAGCAAAAGTTCTACTCTGTGAGCTACTGGCATGAAAGTTGTGAGTGAGAGATTTGGCTACTGCATTAATTAGTGTGTTCTGGAGCCATCCCTTCCTGAGCTAAGACAAAAAAATGTGTGAGCCGGAGACTTAAAAACTGTGAGCTAGCTCACACTAACTCAGCTTAGAGGGAACACTGGGCTCTTTTTGTAGCAGGAACTCCTTTGCATATTAGGCGACACACCCCTAATGTAGCCAATCCTCCAAGAGCTTACAGAGCTCTTCTCACAGGGGCTACTGTAAGCTCTTAGAGGATTGGCTACATTAGGGGTGTGTCGCCTAATATGCAAAGGAGTTCCTGCTACAACAAGAGCCCTGTGCAGCTCTTTTTGCAGCAGGAACTCCTCTGCATATTAGGCGACACACCCCTAATGTAGCCAATCCTCCAAGAGCTTACAGTAGCCCCTGTAAGAAGAGCTCTGTAAGCTCTTGGCGGATTGGCTACATTAGGGGTGTGTGGCCTAATATGCAAAGGAGTTCCTGCTACAAAAAGAGCCCTGGATTGAAAGTCATAACTCGTTGCTGTTACATGATGTTCACCTAAGGTTATGTGATATATGCACAATGGTTGTGTGTATCCAACATCAAATGTTATGGATGTGTACACTGGAGCAACACAGATCTCTCGGGTAAATTCTGTATCTTTAACAGAATGCAGTGGATGCAGCTGGGATTTGTAAAAAGAAAGAAAGAAGTTGTATTTTTCAAGTGAGGTGCACATGGAAAATAATCTGTTCACCTGGAAAATGTTGTGATGGGAAATTCTTTAAATCAGGGGCTGGTCAGTTCCTTCAACCTAGAGTATGGCCACATGCATTAGCATCCAGGTGTTACGTGTTCAGTAGTGAAAAATCTTGAAAATGCCAGACTGGGTCGTCAGCTCATCCCTCCTTCCTTCTGGGAACAGAACTGCAAGATCATTTATGTGGCCAGGAATGTCAAGGACAATATGATCTCCTATTTCCATTTCCATAGAGTGGGCAAACTGTTGCCAGAACCAGGAAATTGGGACCAGTTTCTAGGGAATTTCATCGCTGGGAAGGTCGCCTGGGGCTCTTGGTTTGACCATGTCCATGTTTGGTGGAAAGCCAAGGACCGACAGCCGATTCTGTATCTCTTTTACGAAGACATGAAAGAGGACCCAGCCCGGGAAATCCAGAAAGTAGCCCAGTTCCTAGGCATAACTCTTCCAGATCCACTTGTTAGCCAGATTGTACAGCACACAAAGTTTGTGAGCATGAAAACAAACCCAATGACTAATTACAGCACTCTGCCTTGTTTCCTCTTGGACCAATCTGTGTCGCCCTTCATGAGAAAAGGCACTGTGGGAGACTGGAAGGACAATTTCACAGTGGCCCACAGTGAATACCTAGATGAAGTCTGTGCCCGAGAACTGAGGGGCAGCGGCCTGACCTTCCGCATGCAGCTCTAAGCACACCTTTGGGTCCATCATGGAAACTTTCACCCAAACGTGCCAGAACCAGAACTATAGATTTCATGTGCATTGAATAAAATAAGTTATGAAGCCACAAACAAGGGCCAGGCCACATCAAAATTTACGTGTGGGTTTTTAAAATTCATCATTTTTGTATTTTCCATTTCCAAATTAATTTTAATGAAACAAAAAATGGCCAGACTGGGTCTTGCATAAACCAGCAAAGAAAGGTACTAAGTTCTAGTTTTGACACTCACAAAAGGTTTGGTAAAATAGTGCTGTGAGCTGTGCCTGGCCTGCAGGCTGATACAAGCTAATTGCTTACGTGAATTGCAGACCTGGGCTGCATCCACACTTTGTAGGAAATTGTGCCGTTGTTGCTCTGTAGCACTCTCTGATCCACACAGGGAGATCTAGCTACAAAGAATTGTTAACAGTGTAATGATTGCTCAGGATCCAACCACGTATGCATGCAGCCCTGGCTTTGCTTCCTGTCGACTTATTTGAGCACTTGAAAATGGGGCGTAAACAAAGAGTTTGTCTCTCCCCCCCCGCCGCTGTCCCCCCCCCCCCCCCCCCCCCCCCGCCTTCTGATGTTCTGTAGGGAGCTAACAGAATGCGTGGCCGTTTGGGGAGCATGGACAGCTTTGAAAGATGCAACAACCTCTCCTCAGACAAAGTAAGTGCCTGGTATTTTTGAAAAAATATTTGCCTGTGTGTGTGTGTGTATCTGTTTGCATGCTTGCATGTCTGAAGTCATGGTGACTTCTGACAATCCCTTAATGGGGTTTGGATGTTTCAGAGAGGTGGCTTGGTAGAAGAAGAAGAAGAAGAAGAAGAGGAGGAGATTGGATTTATACCCCTCCCTTCACTTGGAGTCTCAGAGCGGCTTACAAACTCCCCACAACAGACACCCTGTGAGGTGGGTGGGGCTGAGAGAACTCTGACACAAACTGCTCTTTTTCAAGGACAGCTGTGCCAGAGCTTGTGACTGACCCAAGGTCACACCAGCAGGTGCAAGTGGAGGAGTGAGGAATCAAACCCGGTTCTCCCAGATTAGAGTCCACGCCCTACACCAAACTGGGCTCTCTGTGTCCTGAGCCTCTGCATCCCGAGCCCTGGTATTCCTTGGAGGTCTCCCTTCCAAGTACTTGCCAGGGTCAACCCTGCTTCGCTTCCAAGATCTGACGAGATCGGGCTTGCCTGGGCTATCCAGGTCAGGGCGTAAGTACCTGGGTTTAAGTAGATAATTTCAGAGGGTAGCGTTGTTGGTCTAGAGTAGAATAGTGAGACTCGGCGCCAGTAGCACGTTAGAGACCCAACAAAATTTTCTGAGCTTTCGAGAGTCAAAGCTACTTTCTTCAGCTTCAAAGGAATTTTTGACTCTTGAAAGCTCATGAAAGAGGGTGTCTAAGATACTACCGGACTCAAATCTAGTTATGAAAAGAAAACTGCAAGATCTTATGCTAACGTCTACTCTCTTGTTCTGCTGATACTTTAAAAAATAACGACTACTCTTCCTCAGTCTTTCCTCGGACTCCATTTAGAGAGCCAGTTTGGTGTAGTGGTTAGGAGGGGCGGACTCTAATCTGGGAGAATCGGTTTTGATTCCCCACTCCTCCACTTGCAGCTGCTGGTGTGACCTTGGGTCAGTCACAAGTTCTCTTGGAGCTATTCTCTCAAGAGCTTTTCTCTCAGAGCTCCCTCAGCCCCACCTACCTCATAGGGTGTCTGTTGTGGGGAGGGGGAGGGAAAGGAGTTTGTGAGCCTCTCTGAGACTCCGTTGGGAAGTGAAGGGCGGGGTATAAACCCAATCTCTTCCTCTTCTTCTTCTTCCTCTTCCTCCTCTTCTTCCTCCTCCTCCTCCTTATCCTTCCTCTCCCCCCCAGACAGGAAGCCATAAGAATGATTAAGAGACATCTATGCAATTACGATTATAACAGTACGATCTGCAACATGTTTGTTCTACTCAGTTTGTTGGTATGCTTCCACATGGAGAGCTCTCCGATTACTGCTCATATTTGAGTGTTCCGCTTTATAAGTGTGCATTTACTTCGGCACACCTTAATGCCCTACCATCTAGAGTTTTGCAAGGGAGGTATCTTAAGACACCATCCTCTGATAGGACATGCGACTGTGTTGCAGGCAGTGTAGACACCCTGGATCACGTGACCTTCGAATGCAATGATTTTTCTGAGGCTAGAAATCTTTTAATTCTTCCTTTGCTCCAAAATAAAGATTATATGGAGACACCTATTTATTAGAAGATAATGGCAGACCCATCACTCTTTTAGCTGCAATTTTTTATGCATCTGTGATAGATTTTTGCAGCCATTCAAATGGGATCTAGCTTTTTCTATATTTTAGTAATCTGCTTAAAACTAAGGAGGGGAGGGGGAGGGGGAGATGATGATTGGATTTATACCCTGCCCTTCACTACCTAAAGGAGTCTCAGAGTGGGTTACCATCTCCTTTCCCTTCCTCTCCCCCAACAAACACCCTGTAAGGTAGGGTAGGGCTGAGAGAGCTCTTTCGAGAACTGCCCATGAGAGAACAGCTCTGAAATAACTTGTAACTGACCCAAGGTCACACCAGCAGCTGCTGCTTGTGGAGGAGTGAGAAATCAAACCTAGTTCTCCTGGATTAGAGTCCGCGCTCCTAACCACTACACCAAACTGGCTCTCCAGCTAATAAGTTAAGAAGCAGTATGAAGTAGAGAGAGAATATTTTTAAAAAACAGCTACCATCGTTTTTTATATGAAACACTGACTAATAACTTCTGTCCATGCTTAAAAAGAACCATTTGCCTGGCAGCACGGCCAAGAGCCAGCATGGATGCCCAGACAAAGGTTTCCTGAGGGCCCTTCGCTCGCACCCAAATATCATGCGAGCGCCATTTGCATGGTGTGTCTACCTGGTTCCATGGGCCCCTAGGTTGGCCAGGGCCCCAGAACCTTGTCCTCTGCTCCTTTCTGTTGCTTGGTAACCTGTGTCATGCAAGAATAGCTTCCAGGCAACCCAGACAGGGAAAGTTATGTGAACTGGAAGAAAGCTTGTCTCCTGTTCTTTTCAAGCCACCAAGTTACCGGAAGTGTCTGACAATAGGCAAATGGGCTAAGAAACATCTTTTGAATGAATAACACATAGGCGTCACTGGAAAAGACAATAACGCTAGGGAAAGTTGAAAGCAGCAGAAAAAAGAAGACGACGCAACATGAGATGAGGCGGACTCAGTCAAGGAAGCCAGAGCCCTCACAGTTCGCAAGATCTGAGCAAAGCTGTTAACAGGATGTTTTGGGTCACCATAAGTCAGAAGCGACTTGGCGGCACTTAACACACACACGTGTACACACATGGACATAACTGTTTCGTAGACTTGTCTTCAAGACTGTTTTTATCCCTTACCTCGATCTGTCTGTCATCTAACACACATGGACATAACTGTTTCGTAGACTCCAAGACTGTTTTTTATCCCTTACCTTGATCTATCTGTCATCTCTTTGCCTATGTGCCTAATCAGGATATCTTTGGATACTTAAATCCAGTAACCGGAGCGGTGAACAGGCAAGACAGATCTTTCTACAAACCTGAAAAGGGACCCTAGGTTTGCAGAAAAATGTGAAATCTAAAAAAAAACCCCAACACTGAGCAGCTAAAAAAAATCCAAAAATGATAAAAGGGGTGCCTGTAGCTTTAAGCAAGGGAATCCCTCAGTGGCTGTTGCTAGGCAACCACAATGTTCCAAGCTTCAGTATCTGTGAGTAAAAAGGCGGGGGGGGGCAGGGCCCTTTCCAGCCCTATTCTGGCCTTTGAGGGAGGACTCATTGGGGCCAGGCCTTAGGGTTGCCAGCTCCAGACTAGAAAATTCCTGGAGATTTTGTGATGAAGTCTGAGGAGTGCAGGGTTTGGGGAGGAGAGGCCTCAGCGTGGTATAATGCCACAGAATCCACCTTCCAAAGCAGCCATTTTCTCCAAGGCGAGAGATGTTTGGAGTTCAGTCGTAATTCTGAGGGCTCTCCAGGTCCCACCTGGAGGCTGACAACTCTAGGCCTGGCAGCAACCTCTGCGCGACATGATGCCACCCGGCTTTCATGACTCAAGTAGGCCTGGCTGCTTGCTACTATTCAACAGCAGCCACCCTATGAAAGCCAATGTGGTTTAGTGGTTAGAGCTTCATAGTAGGGTCTGCGAGACCCAGGTTCAGATCCCCATCCTGCTGTGGAAGCTGACTGAATAATTTTGCACCAGTCGCATACTTTCCGGTTAACCTACCTCACTGGGTTGTTGTGTAGATAAAGAGAACAAGAAGGGAATAATGTAAGCTGCTTTGGTCCCCACTGTGGAGAAAGGTGGGGTATAAATGAAATAAGTAAAGAATAACGCGTAGCTGAAGATGGGAGGAAGATAAAACGTGGGTTGGTGAACGGCTGACGAGGAGAGAATGAGGCAGGGAGAGGATATGGAAATTGCCAAGAGGAGGAAAAGAGGTTAGGAGATTTCTAGAAATTTGGAGGGAAGTTGAGGAGGGGAGGGACCTCAGGGGTATAATGCCCATAGATTCCACACTCCAAAGCATCCATTTTCTCCAGGGGAACTAGGGTTGCCAACTGCCAGGTGGGGCCTGGAGACCACCCAGAATTACAACTACTTTCCAGATGACAGGGATCACTTCCCCTGGAGAAAATGGCTGCTTTGGGTGGGCTTCATGGCATTATACCCCGTTGAGGTTGCTTCCCTCCCCAAACCTTGCCTTCCCAAGGCTTTCCCCCCAAATCTCCAGGGATTTCCCAACTGATCCGGCAGGCCTAAGGGGAACTGATCTCTGTAGCTAGGAGATGGGTTGTGATTCCAGATCTCCAAGCCCCCACCCAGAGGTTGGCAACCCTAGAAGGAGAGAAGGGAGTCAAAAAAGGGGAGAGACTATGGGGGCTTTCAGGAAAGGGGAAGAGGAAGTATTGGGAGAGGGGAAAGTGAGATGCCACCCCCGGAGTCCTTCCGGGTTCCCGCTTGTATCGGTCTGTCTGTATCTTCTCTCTCTCTCTGTCTCTCCCCTATGTGCTTTTGTTAACTCAGGCCAGAGAACAATTTTTAGCAGTCGTCTCATTTTCCTGGAGTTTTACAAAAGAGTGCCTCTGAGAGAAACAAACCGGGAAACTGCTATGGTTTGTTGGTATAAAGTGACTTCCCCCTCAGAACAAAAGTGGTAGGAGAATGAATATGGGTGCCAAGCATTTTTTATTTCAGGAACAAAACTTTTAATTATCCATTGTTGTTAGCTTGCCTGTATTGTACATGAAAGCAGCTTGCTGCCCATTTTCTGTTTGTTCCTTGTTTTTAAAATGCTCTACACACTGGATTCCCCCCCCCCTCCGGAGATTTAGATATGTTAACATTCCTTGTGATTCGCAATTATCCTGCTGCTGTTACTGTTAATGTGTCCGTTTAATAATAGACCCCTTTTCCAGGATACTGCTTTGACAGCACAGGAAATCTGTGCCTGATATCCCGAGGAAATGAGTACAGAAACCCATTTTGATTGGAGACTGAGCCTGTAGCCTGATTCTCCTCTTTCCCCCCCTTTCTCTGAAGGCATGCAGCAGTCTGGATGCAGCGTCCAGTACCTCTCGGGTGTTTCGAATGCCGTTTCGGTTTTGTGCAGTATTTTCTGTCAGAGGATAGGGCATTTTTAGGACTTTGACTCTGCCTACTCCTGTCCTGTGCTCATGATAGTTGGTGCCGAAGACTTGTATCTCCTCCGCTGAGGAGGAGAGTGATCCTTCAGCTTTGGTTTGTTTGTTTAGCTGCAGGGCAGAGAAGAGAGCCTCACTCCTGTCTGACTTTTTTTAGGACTGCTCCTCTGGGGAGTCTCCTCCCCCCACTCCCCCGGGGTCGCCAATATCCTCAGCTTGGCAGCCGTTTCCCGAAGAGGATTCCGATTCGCCTCAGTTCAGAAGACGGGCGCACACCTTCAGCCACCCGCCGTCCAGCGTGAAGAAAAAGATCTCCTTCCAAGACGGGAGGTCCCAAAGTGTCAAGTCTCCTCTCCTGAGACAGAACTCCGTGGAACAGAGCAGGTGAGTCCTGGCCACAGGCACCTGTGCAGTAATTTTTCTTTTTAATGAATTAGTTTATTCAATATACGAACATACAATGAACATTGAAAACATTTACAAAAAAGAGGTGAGTCGTGCAAGGTTTAACCTTGGAGATAGGTACAATTAAATGGAACACTTTAGCACACAGCTTCTCAAACAGTGCCATATTATTGAACAGTTCAGTAGCAATAGCAATACCAAACCCAAAGTTAACACAAAATCAGAAAGTTATCTAAACTTTCACACCATACTTATAATAACAGTAACAGTAACCATAATATCTAACCCCATATTCTGATGGCTAAAACATATATAATGACATGGCATTTATCCATGGCTTACATGGCCTATGCGTCATAAACTTATTTTGTTTGACTAATAAAATATTCCACTTCCCTGACATACAACTAGGTGAGTTTGGAGCGTGCCCCACCCTGTTCCCAGCTTTTCCTTGGAGATAACGTATCATGTGAGAGTTAAAAACAAGAGCCCCATTGGAATAATTAGCAAATACTAGTAAGCTGCCCAGATAAACAGAGGATAGCATCTATGGCATATTTTACTCAAGAGGAAGCCTTGCTGAGTTCAGTGGGGATTCCTCCCTAGTATGCGTTCGTAGGATGAAACCTTATGCATTCATATACGTAGACCTCTGATCAGTGGGTTAAAAAAAAAAAAAGAATTGTTTTTTTTAAACTCCAGTGAAAGAGAGATTGCCAAGTAAATCATCTAAACTGAGAATAAAAACCCTCAGTGTGCGAGATATAAATATATAATAGGCTACACATAAATTTGAAAGCAATTCTAACCAACTGGCATAGGTGTCACCTGGACATAAAGGATTGGTCTTGGCTTCTGAAAATTTTTCCTGGGCAAGCCAAGCTGAAATGAATGAGAGGAAAAACTGGATTTCTGGTTCTTGCCTCTTTAAGAATTTAAAGAAATAGATATGATGCTCTATGTACAGGGTGAGGTAACCAGTTTTCGACTAGAGTTATACTAGTGTTGTCTTAAATCGTATGTTAGTGTTGTGCTTGAATCTGGTTCTGTTTGCATTGCAGTAGTGATTCGTTTACCTTTCCACGGTTCAGTAATTTTATAACGAGAATACACTTTGTCCCTCCTCTGCAATAAGGCTGAATTGCAGTCTTTTACACTAGATTACCGGTAGCAGTTATCTGGCTCTGTCGCTAGGGAGCGACATCTCATATATAAAACAGTGGTTCTTGCTCTCGAACATCCAGAATCTTCTTCCTTGTACATGGGTCTGCAGCTATGGCTTTGTATGAAGAGAGGGAGACAGAAATCTCCTAAGCGTGCTGTAAAGGTGGCCGTACAAACAGTGGGAACAATGATCCACCACGCTGTGGCGTTCACTTTATCAAAGCATGCGTCTCAGACCTACTGAAGAAACGGTGTTTTCATTAAGTATTACAGAGGGCAGTGTGAAAGCTCAGATCCCAAACATTCCCGGCACAGCCTGCTTCAATACCTGCCACGTATGGAGCAATATCTTAAGTTACGTAGACAAGTAATGGGAGCCAGTTAGAACTACGTTGGAATGTCTTCAGCCTAGCCCTAGCTAAAGAGGAAAGGCATCCGTCTGGGTAGGAGAGATGTTAGTGTTGTCTGGGAGGCTGGGTGTGCGACTGGGCTGCAAGGAGGGCTTTGGGAGTTACCATCAGTTAAATGTCAACATTTCGTTTTTAACAAGTTGTCATAGTCTTCTCCTGTAATTACTAATTCTCACTGCCCTGGAATAGAGAAGGGGAAGTGGTTTGTTTTGTTTTTTTACTGGTTAACATATGAATGGCTTGATTAGTCATTTCAACAGAATAATATGACAGCTTATCAAACACGAACTGTACACAGCCCCAGTGTCTGGCTGGTGGAAACTCCAGGAGACCTGAAGGCTGCTCCTTCTCGCTGCAGACTTGCATACCGATCCATCTAGCTTCTGTTGTCTTAACTATCGTCCTTCCCCTTCAGCTAGGATTATATTCAAGAACACAGCGCACAGGTGCAGAACGGAGAAGCAAGGAGCTCAGAGATTTTAATATTCATTGTCTGTCAAGTCTTACCATGGTTATAATTCGTTTCTACATTCGGGAGGTTCCTGCAGCTCTGTTATACATCAGAAGAGCTCTGCTAGATCAGACCAGTTGTCCATCTAGTCCGACATCTTGTCTCACACAGTGGCCAGCCAGTTCCTCCGGAGGCCCAACAAGCACGGCATAGAGACCAGGACCTTCCCTGACATTCCCTCCTCTCACTGGTGCTCAGAGGTGTTCATTCCCTGAATGTGAAACTTCCCTTTAGTCATCATGGCTAATAACCACTGGTGGACCCTGTTCTATATTAATCTTCTCAGCAGCAGGCGGGGAATTACCTGTAATGGCAAGTCGGTGTGGCTATTAGAACGATCTTTTCCAATTTTATCCCCCTGCTATATCGTGGCCTTGGGACACTTCTTTCTATGTCACTAAGGAAAGAAGGGGAGGATCAGGCTATTGTCTGTCACAATGGTGACTTGCAGACAGATTTAGTTTCTTGACTTACGTTTGGTTTGTTTTCCCAAGCTTTAATCAATAAAACAGGAAACTTAAAACGTAAGCTGTGGTTTAGACTTGCTGGCAGCTGCTTACCACAGAAGCAGTGATGGCTCAGGCAGCGTGGTTTCAAGTCGGAATGGCAAACATCCAGCAGCTTGGTCATTCATTGTTCTTTTCAGGCAAGCATGTGGATTCCAAACGATCGACCTAGAGGCAATGTTCCCTCTAATTTCCCCCCCCTACTGAGCAGAGCAGTTCGCATCCTGAGCAGAATATAACTGCTGTAATCTTAAAATGGGCAACGGGCTACAGATTACTGCTGAGCAGGGCTTCCGGTGTTAATGAGCAGCCACTCACGCACACAGTTGAGAGGGAACATTGCCTAGAGGTGTTTGGACCTAGAGATAAAAATAATTTAAATGCCATTGACGTGCTTTTAATTGCAAGTATACCCTTTGTTGGGAAATATTTACCCCACCTCAAGAAGGAATCTGGAGAAGCAGAACATTAATGCTCCAAATAAGATTGATGTGAGATCTTAAAGATTCTTTTTAACTCTTTTCCTCCAGTAGAAATGTGTAAATGTTCTGTTTTGGTATAGCTGAGTTCTTCCTGTAAAGCTGTTATTGAAATGGTATGTCCTTGAATGTTTAGAGATGCTCTTTGTCTGTAGTACTGATTACAGCTCCTTCCTGGAACGACACCTCTATTACATTTATACCGACCAGCTCTCGTCCCCATTCTGTAACCTTTGAAGGAGTGAGTGCAGTTTCTTTTCTCTGTTAACATGGAGGAAGGGGAAATCTGGTGAGGGGCTTTATTTTGTTTTGTTGGAGACTGGCCTGTGTCAAGAAATGCTGCAGCCATGAGGGAGTTAAAGGTTCATTGCAGGAGAAAGGGGCCATCCCAAACCAGGGCAAAATTGCAAAAGTATAAATATAAGTAGTTCAGTATTTAAACTAAGTTAACTATGTCAAATAAAATGCTCCAGTGCAGGGCAAGCACCCAAAGGTGTCTCAGAGCGGCTTACAAACTCCTTCCCCTTCCCCTCCCCACAACAGACACCCTGTGAGGTAGGTGGGGCTGAGAGAGCTCTTGACAGAGACTGCTCTTTTTCAAGAACAACTCTTATCAGAACTATGGCTTGCCCAAGGTCATCCAGCCAGGTGCAAGTGGAGGAGTGGGGAATCAAACCCGGTTCTCCCATATTAGAGTCCGCGCACTTAACCACTACACCAAACTGGCATCCAGTTCTTCTCTGTGACATTCAGTAGTGCTTAATGTTGTGATGTCACAATGTGGATAAATTCAGATTGAGAGGTGTGGTTTGGACACATGACTGCTGTTTTCTGCAGCAGTCTCAGGCTTAGCTTCATGTCTGATTCAGCTACTACTTGAATAACTCGGGGGGGGGGATGTTACCCCTACATTATATTTGCTGAGAGTAATAAAATTATGCACATTAGGTATGTTTGGGCGCTAACACCTATTGTCTTTTGCAAAAATCTCATAATGTATTTTGCACGCTGTTTTGGTGATTAGCACCTATTATGATGCAGGACTGAGCTGTAACATGGTGAGTATGGATAAGATTCTGGGAACTCTTGGAGGGGTGTGTGTGAAATGTTGTATTAAGCACTTATTTTGCTACGCTTTCTTTTATTGCCTGCTGTCAGGCCGACACTTGCCCGACGTACTCGCAGTGAGAGTGAATCATCTGCTCCATCCAGCCTCCCTTCTTCCTTCTCTGCCCCATCTTTCCTGAAAAGCTTTTACCAGAGCTCAGGAAAGCCACCTCCTCAGTCTGAAAATGAACTTCCCAAGAGGTGAGAGCACTGGTTGTCTGCCTGCCCCTGCCCGGCCGCACTTCCCACACAGCTGGCTTGCAATCCGTAGTTGCCGCTAAAGTGAAATATTTGAAGAATCTCTGAGCAGAGCATTCTGCGGAAATGCTTGTTGAGAGTTGCAGCACAGAGAGCCTTTGCTTAATTATTGCACTGTTGTATCATTCTAATGCAAAAAAAAAAATCAGCATTGCCAAATCCAGTTAGCGAGGCTTTTGTTATTTTTATTCTCTTAAAAATGGGATTTTTTTAAAAAAAATATCAATAAAGAAAAACTCTGTACATGTATCCATTTCTGGTTTATGCTGGGATTGGCAAGTCCTTGTGTTCTTTCCTGACCTCGGGCAAGTATTACATGTCTGTTCCCGTACATAAAATGGAAATAACATCAATTTACCCCACAGAGTTGTTCTGAGGTTGATTAGGAGAATTGCTAAAGAGTACTTAACACGTGAAAATTCTCCATATTTACAGACTTTCACTTACTGCAACTTGGCGGTTCTGAGTTTCTCAAACTAAGTTCACATTCTTGTTAAATTAACAAAATTTAAGAAAAATTATTCAGGCAGTTTTGTTCCCAAGACTGGATGGTAGGCTGTAAGAGCTGGCAATGTTGATAACTTTAGTGAGCATTTCACCACTAATTAACTTCTCGGTAATGTGTGCGTTGTGTTAAGGTTGTGTGACAGTGACTAACACAGGCACGATACATTTTTAAAATGCTTTAAACAGAATTTGCCCTTTCTCCAGCTGTGTGCTAATGCCTGGCTATCAGCAAAGGTTGTTGTAGAGTGTGGTTGGCAGGGGTCATTTTGTAGGAAAAGAGGTGCATGAGCTCATTAGCATAACTCATTAGCATAACTTATTTGCATATGCCACACCCCCTGGCATCACCAGACATGTATCAGAAGGCAACACCCACCGCTTAGGCTCCACTGGACTGTTTTGGATTGCTAGCTATTGGGGAGGGGGGAACGTGCAGATCTGTCCTCGCAGAGGAGGGAGAGCTTGTACCTGAATAAAACTTGGTCTTAAAGGGCCCGCTGGACGGTTTGGGACGGGGGGGGGGGGCTCTGCAACTTACCTGGCTGCTTCTTGATCTGACTGAGGGCTGCTGGGAGCAGGGGGTGGGGCTTGTTGCATGTGCCCGCCCCCTGGGCTCTTTACTGCCGGAGCTCCTCTCCTGTGCGCTCCTGCAGGAAATGACCCCTGGTGGTTGGTAAATCCACACTGATGGCTCCCTTTGGCCAACCTGGATATTTATATTTCCAAAAACTGCAAGGTGCATATTGTGATGTTGCCCCATAAGTACAGTTACACCTGGACCCACACCCTTTGCTCCTTGAGTACATCACTAAAAAAATACAGATGAATCATCCATCCTCTAAGGTTTGTAGATCCCTCAGCTCTTCCAGTGTGGGGCTGAGAGTTGTGTGAGGCCAAG